GACCCAATACAGCCAAAATAAATAAATATTAAAAAAGGAAATAAAAAATCTCTCTGTAATAGCAGGTCACCTTATTTACTCCACGATACACAGAAGAATAAAATTCTCATATATGACCTACCCCCTTGGGTATACCTGGAATTATGCAGTTTTCAGCCACAATATCCATATTTCCACTAATTTCTCCTCCACTAAAGAAAGCATAATAAAAAGCTGGTGAAAATTATACTTCAATAAAAGGTAAAGGGAAAAAACCGAAACCTAGTGGGTTGGAATGAGAGGGATGTTATTATATACGTGATCTTGAATATGATCAATTTACATTGAAAAAAAAACCAAGCACTTGCAAACTTTGGCACTTTATCACTATTAATAAATAATTTGTAATACATCTTACAAGTGATCATTCATAATAAGAATGATAAAAACTGTTATTCTATGTAGCACTTAGCACGCTACACACATAAAAAGTCATCAGTAAATACTCAATTAACCAATTAGTGTGTCTAGCCCATTAATCAATCAGTTGCACATAAATATTATTGCTGCTGCCACTGCCTGATAACAATGATTGATGACGATGACACAAAATACAGACATGGAGTACAGCAGCTGAGCTTGCTGCCAGATTCTAAAGGAACAAATGACTTCTTATAGGGTGAGTCTAACCAATATTTTAACAGTATAGCATGACCATGGCACTTCTGAAGTCTATGAAGATCACAGTTTCTATGGCAATCATCATGCAACTCTACACCTCTTGTGCAACAGTGTGGCTATTGATGCAATCTTCGGTAAAATTAGTAAATTGTAAACTCTATCTGCCAGTGCAGTCAGGGATCAGATAACTTTTGCTCCACCCAAGAGCAAGTCTACCTGTGACAACGCAAATCTTGTTCTATATTAAAATGGCTCTCAGTTTTATAACAACAAATTGCCAAGCAATAGAAGTCCCTTATCAACAGTTACAACCCAAATGTATAATCTTTAACTGATACTAAAACATTCTATAACATTCCAGCATGCCCCTTTAATTGTTAGTCACACAAATAGACTATGATTTGATTTTGAGACCCCCCCCCAAAAGCTGATAAAGTCAAAGAATCTGAAAATGACCTATCTTTCCCTAAAAAAATCTCTACATCTACATCTGATTGCTTAGGTATAAATCCATCTATAGATCATCAGTCTTCTGTTTTCTTTAGCCCTGACATTTTAACAATCTAGAAGAGACTGATCTAAGAATAAATTTTTAAACTTATTTTTTAGTGTTCCCAAAGCAGACACTATTTAGAAATTCTTGTGAAAGTGTAGGCAGAGGAAGCTCCAGTCTATCATGCCCTGGAAACTTCCAAACATCAACCAAACAGCCCAAAAGAATGTCCTACTCAACAGTTCCAAGGATGTCATTAATTGCTTCCATCTGTTTCCCGCTCTGTCCCCTCCCCATCCTAGTCAAGGCATCTACTAAAGCTATTTTTTGCTTCATTTTGCACTCGAAAGAAAAGCATAAAGAGGCTTGATGTTTTAAACTACAGAATATTTATTTTTCCCCATATCTGGTTGATAACCACAGTCATATTATTTCTCTACACCAGGTTATTTTCAGGTAACATTTCAGAGTGTGGCATATTAAGACATGTACTTTTAAAAACTGCTCAGTAATTATTTCAGTTGGTCATAACACAATGTTTTCTCCCGACTCGCCAAGGAAACCAAGGATTTCCCCACATAGTATGATAAAGGTTAAAACCTCTAAATGGTTTCATCCACTGATGATCCTTTCCTAAATCAATGGTTTGTTACACAAAGATGACTTCTAATTTGTCATTTATTCCACATTTATTGGTTAGAATTCCCCTCATCAATTAGGGCTATTAGGTTACTGTGAAATAAAGTACATATTGGAGAGAAAGGATAGTTATAATTTTTTTTCTCTTTTGATGAGAACTTTTAAGATCTACTCTTAGCAACTTTCAAATATACAATACAGTATTGTTAACTATATTCACCATGCTCTACATTATATCTCCAGGACTTATTTATTTTATAACTAGAAGTCAGTGCTTTTTGACACATCCCTCCACCTCTCCACCTCTGACAACCACCCATCTGTTCTCTATACCTACAAATTCATTTTTCAAAATATTCCACATATAAATCATACAATATTTGCCTTTCTTTGACTTATTTCACTTAGCATAAGCCCTCAGGGTCCATCCATGTTATTACAAACAGCAGACTTTTCTTCTTTTCTATGGCTGAATAATATATATCTCACATCTTCTGTACCAATTCACCCATTGATGAATACCTAGATTGTTTCCATATCTTGACTACTGTAAACAATGCTGCAATGCACATGGGGTCAGACAGATTTTCAAGATGAGTAATTCTGTTTCCTTAACATAAATACCCAGAAGTTGAATTGCTGGATAATGTGATAGTTGTATTTTCAATTTTTTGAGGAAGCTCTGAAAAGATAGGATAAATCCTTAACTCTTTTCTTTAAATTTTCCATTACCAGAGTAAGGGGCTGGGGACCTAGTTACCACCAAGGGTGATCAATGAAGTTATGTTTTGTTTTAAAGTTACCCACTCTTTTGAGAATGTCATCACAACTAGGGTACTCCTTAATTTTTCTAAGTCCCCAAGGATGCCTGTGAGACAGCACACAGCATATTTCAAAAGTTTATCTCTGGAAGTGAAGTGTGAACTGTTAGTTGCTCAGTCGTGCCCGCCTCTTTGCAACCCGGTGGACTGCAGCCCTCCAGGCTCCTCTGTCCATGGGATTTTCCAGGCAAAGATACTGGAGTGGATTGCCATTTCCTTCTCCAGGGGATCTTCCCGACCCAGGGATCGAACCTGGGTCTCCTACACTGCAGGCAGATTCTTTACAGACTGAGTTCTGGGAACAAGCAGAAATCAGTTTCCTGAAGAAATTAATTTACCAATCAAATGATATTCATAGACTTGAATGTGAAGGGTTGAAAGGAACTTTTTATAGGTTCATCAAGTCCCGCTTACCAGATATTGAATCTCCCTATACACTATCTCACCATGCTCTGTACCTTCCAGGGGGTGAGGGATGAATGGATATAAGCTAGAGTTGTGTTTTTATTATAAAGTAAATGCAAGTTTAATTATAATACATTTAACTGCCAGCATTGGACTCTTTAATTACTACCATGACGGCACAAAAAGTAGGCTCATACTGGTTAGACCTGGAAGAAACCTCGAAGGCCACCAAGTTCAAGGAAGGCAAGTTTGAAAAGATACTCCCACAAAACAGATGCTTCTGGTACCCTACTTCCTAACACATGAACATCCTGCAGAATTAACAAAATCATAGTTCTGTAGAAGTACCCACTCAAGTAAGTTAGAAATAAGGCACCAATATGGGTGAAATTTTACATCTGCTCAATGAAAATAATAGAACATAAGGAAGATAAAAATAAAGGAACACTTTTTGCTTTATTTTGAATTGTGATATATCATATAGATACAGAAAATTTCAAAAGCCTATGTATAATTACAAAATAACCACTCATGTAACTGAACAGTTAAATCAAGAAATAGAACATTATTAACACTTTAGAAGCTCCTGCATTCCTCTCCCTGATATAGCCCTCCTTTTTCATCCTTGAAACACTACTACTCAGACTTCTGTGTTATTTCTTTGTTCACCTTTATCTTTTTACGTTACAGGCATCCTTAAACAACACAATTTATTTCTACATGGTTTTGAACTTTAAATAAATGGACTCTACTACGTATGATGAGGTGGTTAGATAGCATCACCGACTCAAAGGACAAGAATTTGAGCAAACTCTGGAAGATATGAAGGACAGGGAAGCCTGGCATGCTGCAGTCCATGAGGTCACCAAAAGCTGGACAGGACTTAGTGACCGAACAACGACCACCACCTATATATCTATATCTCTATCATTCACTTCCCTAATTATTTTTGAGATTCATTCATTCTTTTTTTTAATTCATAAAATTGACCATTTTAAAATGAGATATTCTCATTCCTTTTTACTACTAACATTCAACTGATGACTATACCATGATTGTTTTTATCCATTCCAATGTAGATAGATAAATGATACAATGTTGATATCAGTATTCTTGTACATAGATCCTAGTGTACAAGGGTATAAGTTTCTTTAGGGAACATACTGGGAGGCAGTGAAATTGCCTATCTTCTGCTTTACTAATAACACATTGTTTCTCAAAGTGGTTGTACCAATTTATATTCCCAACAGCAGCATACGGGTGTTCCAGTTACTCCACATCCACACCAACAACTGACAACATCAGACTTCTTAATTTAGGAGCTTATAATAGAACAATTTGTACTTTTCTGGTGACTAATGACATAGAGCACTTTCTCATAGGTTTACTGGCTATTTGGATTTCCTCTCATTTGAACTGCCTATTCAAATTCAAATTCAAATTCAAATTATTTGCCTCTTTTGTTCTTTAACTGAATAGTCATCTTATTCTTAATGACTTTGTCTTATGCATCAATCTTTACTTTTACTTAGGACTTGACTGTCATAAAGAAGCTTTAATCAAAAGTTAGTAACTCTGCTTACTTTAGATAGGGTAGGTCAAAATGTTTAGAAATTTAAATTTAAAATGCTACTGAAATATGTTACAATATTTTTTTTAAGTTTGTATCTACTGTTATTTCTGAGCAAAAGTATTTAGTACAAAACCCAGACTCATGCATGCTAAGATCAGAATGTTTCTAAATCATTTCCACTCTGAAAAACAAAATTCAGAAATCATAGTTTGGTTAAAAATTATGTCAAAAATATTTAACACCAATGAATAAAATCAACAGTAGAAAACTTGAGTGTTGAAAAATGAAAAACTGAAATTTCAACTGTAAACAGAGCTTTATATTTTAAAATTTCCTGCTACAATCACTATTTTTCCTTTCCTAACAAAGACTATTCTGCTTAGCAATAGAAGAATGTTTAATTACTTACTTAATAAATGCTGGTGGCATATCTCTCTTCAAAATCTGATCCTCGGTGGTTTGAACAGTCTCTTTTCCAACCTACAGGGAAAAAAGATTCACAATTCAACTATAAATTCTCAGACTTTTAAAACTATTACTTAAACATATGGGAAAAATCACAAACAATCTATCATTTAAGCTTCTAGATTTGAAGAAAATTTCTAGTTTTGGGTGTTTTTTTTTTTTACTTATCAGGATTGCTCCTGTATTTCCTTTCATAATACACTTGGATAACAACATGGAGTGCAAACATAAAAGTATAACCCCTTCTCTAGAGTAATTAATTTGAAGGCATCATTGAGCACAGTGAGGGAAAAAAAGAAATTCATCATTGAGCATATGTATGTGTTTATTTATTGATGTTTAATCATAAACTGCCAATCTCTGAAGGACTACACGAAGTACATGAATCCAATTAGGTGGGTTAAAATGTCTGTTCAGAAAATAATTGACATTACTGGAACTGGGAAAATATGTGAAGTAATTATAACTCTGAAACTAGAGCCAAATATATGAAAATACACAGCTTAACTAGTAATCAACATGTTTTCCCTAATCATCAGTTCAGTCGCTCAGTAGTGTCCAACTCTTTGTGAGCCCATGGACTGCAGCACGCCAGGCTTCCCTATCCATCACCAACTCCCAGAGCTTACTCAAACTCATGTCCATCCAGTCGGTGATGCCATCCAACCATCTCATCCTCTGTCGTCCCCTTCTCCTCCCACCTTCAATCTTCCCCAGCATCAGAGTCTTTTTCAAGGAGTCAATTCTTCCCATCAGGGGGCCAAAGTATTGGAGTTTCAGCTTCAGCATCAGTCCTTCCAATGAACATTTGGGATTGATTGGTTTGATCTCCTTGCAATCCAGTGTACTCTCAAGAGTCTTCTCCAACATCACAGTTCAAAAGCATCAATTCTTTGGCACTCAGCTTTCTTTACAGTCCAACTCTCACACCCATACATGACTACTGGAAAAACCATAGCTTTGACTATAGGAACCTTTCTTGGTAAAGTAATGCCTCTGCATTTTAATATGCTGTCTAGGTTGGTCATAGCTTTTCTTTCAAGGAGCAAGCATCTTTTGATTTCATGGCTGCAGTCACCATCTGCAGTGATTTTGGAGCCCAAGAAAATGAAGTCTGTCACTGTTTCCATTGTTTCCCCATCTATTTGCCATGAAACAATGGGACTGGATGCAATGATCTCCATTTTTTGAATGTTGAGCTTTAAGTCAACTTTTCACTCTTCTCTTTCACTTTCATTAAAAGGCTTTTTCATGAAAAGGCTTTCTGCCACAAGGGTGGTGTCATCTGCATATCGGATGTTATTGATATTTCTCCCAGCAATCTTGATTCCAGCTTGTGCTTCATCCAGCCCAGCATTTCACATGGGGTACTCTGCATATGTTAAATAAGCAGGGTGACAATATACAGCCTTGACATACTCCTTGCCAGATTTAGAACCAGTCTGTTGTTCCACATCCAGTTCTAACTGCTGCTTCTTGACCTGCATACAGATTTCTCAGGAGGCAGGTCTAGGTGGTCTGGTATTCCCATCTCTTGAAGAATTTTCCACAGTTTGTTGTGATCCACACAGTCATAGAGCAACTTGAAATCATATATAATGCTACATGCTGTAATGGAATAGACAGTTTTACCCCATGCTGGTGGCAATGTAAACTGGTACATTCTCTTTGAAAAAGTATTTGCTAATATGTGTTAAGAAGTGAAACTGTCCTATCTAAGAATATACCCTATAAGCAATAATACCAAGTGTGGTAATCACAATATTTTAAAAAATATTCACTATCATGCTAGTTAAAAAAGCAAAAACATTTTTAAAAAACTTATCCAACAATGAGGAACATGTAATTAAATTAAGATATATCTTTAGACTTAGTACTATGCAGCCATTAAAACAATGGTTATAAAGACTCAGCACTATGGGAAAATGTTTATGATGTTATAATTCATTCAAAAGGATAAATAAAAAATAATAAGTACACTATGATTAAAACAAACCCCAAAATCATTATGCATAAGGCCAAAACCCTGAAAGAATATAAAACAAAATGTGTTTATTAATGCTTGAAAAATTTTGAGTGAATCTGTATCTGTATGCTCTGTCTTCTAATTTTCTGAAATGTGAATATAAAATTTTTATCTTTTTTTTTTAATTTTTATCTTTTAAAAAGTAATATTAACATATTACTCTGGGTTACTTAGGTGCAATTATTTCCTATCAAATTATTTCAGTAATTATTTGTCATTTTATACCAAAATCTTTCCAAAAAGTAATGGTTAAAAAATCTTTTTAAATTTAAAATACTGTCACATTAACCAGATTGTGTGTATCTGTACATGTATACTTACCCTTTCTTCAAAATCATTCCTATGTAGGGCTTGGATGTCAATTTTTCTTTAACTATATCATATTACAAAGTAATATAGAAGAAGCAAACTTAGATGTAAGGGGTAGTGAAATTTACTCTTTTATCAATATAAAACTATTTAGGAATGTTGAATTACAAATATGAACCAGGTATCAATGCAGAAATTTATGAGATATTTAAAACCCAGAATGGAAATTTTCTCAATCCTATTATTTATTTAACTTTTTATTGAGTTTAAAGAAAAACTAGTTTAAAAAATCCCAAATGCACAGTAAGGCAGCTAAAATAAATAATACAATAAATAATTCTCAAGAATTACCAGCCAGGCATGAGTTAATGAATACAAGTTTTTTTCTCTCAAGTTAATAGCTCAGAAAAAGCAAGACACATATACCACTGTGTAATAGCCAGTGCTTCTGTAGACAATAGACAGTCTGTATCATAATAAAAGCCTTTCAGATCAGCAGCTAGTTCTCTAGAGTTTCTCAGATCAAAACATGACAGAATATTTCCAGATGTATTGTTCACTATAGTTTCCAACAAAACTTAGCCATTCAAAAAGCTGTAGGACATGACTTCATGAAGGAAAAGATGAAGTGCAGCAAAAAAGTCACTAGTTCATTCTAAGCATAAAGGGCTTAGAAAGATACCCACACTTAGATAAATGGCAATCCCTTTTATCTTACACAACATGTGTACACATAGAGATAGAAAGCTAGAGAGAGACAAGAGCAGAGAAAGAGTGAGTGAACTGGGGGAGTTCCTCTTAAATCTCCTTTAGAAAGTATTCAGTTATTCAACATTATTAACATTTACTGAATGCAACTGCATGTGCAGTCACTGTCTAGGTACTTTACACAAAGCAGAAGTAAAAACAAAGTTTCCTGCCCTCATGGAAGTTATATTCTAGTGGGAGTAGACAGAGACAGTATACAAGTCAACATATAAATAAACAACAACAACAACAAATCATACCAGGCATTAGTAAAGATGATGCTATAAAGAGTATGTGGTTGGAGTGAAAAGTGAAAGAAAGTGTAAAGTGAAAGTGTTAGTAGCTCAGCTGTGTCCAGCTTTTTGCAACCGCGTGGTCTACAGCCCACCGGGTTCCTCTGTCCATGGAATTCTCCAGGCAAGAATACCGGAGTGGGTAGCTGGGAGCCACAGAGTGGACCAAGAATTAACACTGGAGCTGAGACTCTGAAGCTGAAGAACTACTCATGCAGGAGCTGGGAAAGAATAATCCCGAGGGAGAAGCAAGAAAAAGACCCAAGGCAGGAAAGTTTGGGTATACCCAAAGAGCCCTAAACAGGCCAGAGTGGCTAAAGCTCTGTGAGTAGGGGTGTGGTGATAAGGCTGGGTAAGAAGGCATGGGGGTTAGATCACAAACAGCTTTTTAAGGTCAGGTTAAGATATTTGGAATCTTTTCTAAGTACAAGAAGAAGCAGGAAAGCTAAACAAGAGACTGACTTGATCTGATTTCCTTTTTAAGTTTTGGCTGCACTGGGTGGAATCTTCCTAATTCAGGGATCGAACCCGTGTCTCCTGCACTGGCAGGTGGATTCTTAGCCACTGGGCAACCGGGGAAGTCCTGATTTTTTTTTTTTAAGGTCATTTTACCTGTTATAAGGAAAAGTGATCTTTGCAGGCAAGAGGAAGCAGAATGACCAGTTAGGAGGCTACTGTAGTCATCCAGGGGAATGATAGCAGTGACTTAAAACAAGACATGAAAGTAGAAATGGAGAATTCATTTTCTTGGAGGAAGAGTTAATGGGACTTGCTCTTGGAATGGGTGAAGTAGGGATTAGGGAGTGGACTGAGAGAAATAAGAAATTGAAATGACATGTAGGTCAATTAAGTAAAATGTCCTCAAAGGCAGCAATGCCAGAAGGCTGATATATAGCAAAGATTTAAGATAAAAAGATAAAACAATCATGAATACACCAGGCAAAACCACTGAAATAGTTTTTCAAATAGCAAGTATTCTGACCCCAGTAGAGGTAATTACTAGTGAATGAATTCTATTGGGACTTCCCTGGTGGTCCAATGGCTAAGATTCTGAGCTCCCAATGCATGTGGCCTCGGTTCAATCCCTGGTCAGGGAACTAGATCCCACATGCCACAGCTAAAGAACCCGCATGCTTCAGTGAAGACAGAAATCACACATGCTGCAACTAAGACCTGGCAAACCAAATAAATAAATAAATTTTTTTTAATGAATTCTATTAAAATATTTTGTCTCTGTTGTAAAGATAAAGGTAAATGAAGAAGAGAAACAGACAACAAAAACATATTCAAGGGCTACTTATTTAAAAGCTATTTTTAAGTACTTAAGTGATGGGCACTAAATATTATTTTAAGCTGCATTCATAACTGCGGTGATAGTATCCATAATTGCTCTGATCTTCAAAATACTCAGCCTATAATAAGGTTCCATACAATGAATGGTCCTATTTTTAAGGTATAACACATGAAGCATATTTACATAGAATGAATGCCATTTCTACTTGGGGAACTGATTTTGGGCAACGCTGTCCAATAGAACTTTCCATTACGATGGAAATGCTCTATTTATATTGTTTCATTTGTGCCACCCAATACAGCAGCCATTAACCATGTGTGGCTACTGAGCACTTGAAATATGGCTA